CGGTAGGTTCTTTAAGTCTTTTTTGTCATTTTTCGATGGGTAGGTTTTTTGTTTCTTCTTCGGTGGGTTCAAGTCTCTTGATAGTTCTTCTTCGTCATTTTTCAGTGGGTAATTTTGTTGTTTTTCGGTTCTTTTTCTCTTTGTTAGTGGGTTCTGTAAGTCTTTTGGTGGTTCTTTATCATTTTTTTTTTAAACACAAATGTATATTTTTTTTTAGAATCTTCATTGAAGTCGTCGCTGGAGTTATTGTTAGAGCAATCTTTCGGTAGGTTTTTTAAGTCCTTCGGTGGTTCGTCGTTTTTTGGTGATAGGTTCTTTGTCTTTTCGTCATCCTTCGGTATTCTTCGTCATTTTTCAGTGGGTAGGTTCTTTGTCTCTTCGTCGGTGAGTTCAAGTCCTTTGATAGTTCTTCTTCGTGAGTAATTTTGTCGTTTTTCGGTGATAGGTTCTTTGTCTCTTTATCATCCTTCAGTGATCCTTCTTTGTCATTTTTCGGTAGATAGGTCTTTTTCTCTTTGTTTGTAGGTTCTGTAAATCCTTCGGTGGGTAATTTTGTCATTTCTTGGTGTGTAAGTTCTTTGTCTCTTTGTGTTCTTCTGGTAAGTTCTTCAGTAGGTTCTGTAAGTCTTTCGATGGTTTTTCGTCATTTTTTGGTAGACTTTTCTGTTGTTTTGGAGTTTGTTCGTTACCATTTTCGTTCTGTCTTTGTCCTGTTTTTCATTTTGTTTTTCGTCCCATTTTTCGTCCTGTTTTTCATCCCATTTTCGTCTCATTTTTCTTTTTGTTTTCGTTCTGTTTGTACTTAACTAAAAAAAATTAAATTAAATTAAATTATTAATAAATTAATAAAATAAAAAAAACTTAAAAAAAAATTAAAAAATAAGAATACACGTGATCGATTTTGATTGGTCGATCATAGGGTCACCATGGTGATGGGTCGCCATAAAATAACGCCCTTTTTAATAAATACAATTTAGTTTATATGTTTTTTAAATATTATTTTTGTTAATTTTTTAGCTCTCAGACCTGAGTGTTGCTTTGGAGGCTCAGTTTTAACTTTTTTAGTTTTTAAGTAATTGTTAATTTTGGTTGTTTATTTATTAGTATTTAAAGTAATTTATATAATTTCTAAAAATATAATTTAGTTTTCTGTTTTTTAATAGGAGTATTTTAACATTCACTGGTGGTAAAAATTCACCAGAGTGCTATATCTCGAAAACTGCACTATGAAACAGGGATCAGGTAAGTTAAGTAAAAATATTCAGGATCCCTGAAAACCTTACAGAAACTTAAATCGGGACCTTATATCTACTCTACGCTATATTATATATAAAAAAAAAATCTCTAAAACTGCACCCTAACCCTAAAATTCTATTTACTACCAGTGAATTTTAAATAATTCCTTTTTAATAATAGTTTTTAGATTTTTTAGCTCTCAAACTCAGGTGTTGCTTTGGGGCTTGATTTTAATTTTTTTAATTTTTAAATAATTTTCATTATTTAAATTATAGTCAGACCTTTCTAAATGCAACCTCCATAAATGCAATACCTCCCTAAATGTACATTTTTGTCTTGGCTATATGAAATCATTAGTACTAAATGCACATTCTATATTCTGCAAATGTACATTCACTCAAAAGATTTTTTATATCATACTAACTTCCCTAAGTGCATGTAGCCAATCAAAAGTCAGTATTTAAGTTTGTTATACAAGTCTGCAGATTAAATATTAAAAGCTGCAATTTGATTAGCTCCCTCTAAATGCAAACCTCCCTAAATATACATTTTAGGCTAGTCTGTACATATTGTATTTATGGAGATTTGACTGTATATAATTTTTAAAAATATAATTTAATTATTAAGTCTATTAAATATTAGTTTTTTAGTTGTTTAGCTCTCAGATCTGTGTGTTGCTTTGGTTTTAATTGTTTTAGTTATAAAATTTTTTATTAGAAGAATAGTTTAATTTTTAGATTTTTTTTTATATATTAAATAAACAACTCTTTTTTTCTGTATATCAAATAAACAATTTTTTTTTATATATTAAATTAGCAACTTTTTTTTGTATATCAAATAAGTAATTTTTTTCTGTATATTAAATAAGTAATTTTTTTTACAAAATTACTATATTTCGTTACTGGTGATTATCACCAGTGATTTACAGGTATAACGTATAAATCAAAGTAATTTTTTAAAACAAAAATTTAATTCTTTTAATATTAGGGTAAGGGTAGAGATAGCATGTTTTGGTTAGGCAAAAGTTATAGTAAAATTTTGCAAGAAATTTTTTTTGTTAAGGCCCAAAAGGTGGTTTTATAGATAAAATTTTAAGATATGGTTAATTTTTTAAAAATTCTTTGTTTTTGTTATACAAAATTGATTTACACATTATGCCTGATCTTGCAAATTAATTGGTTAATTATATACTGGTGATGATCACTAGTGGTGATAAATAGCAAACTTCTTTTTTTTATATATATTATATAAGCAATACTTTTTTTGTATATTTATTGAATGACTTTTTTTTTGTATATTAATTAAATATTTTTTTCTTGTATTAAAAAACTGACTCTTTTTTTTATATATCAAATAACTGACTCTTTTTTCTGCATATTAAATAATTGACTTTTTTTTCATATGTTAAATAATTAACTTTTTTTTATATATCAAATAACTAACTTTTTTTCTATATGTTAAATAATTCTTTTTTTTGTATATTAAATGACTGACACTTTTTTCATATATTAAATAACTAGATTTTTTTTCTGTATATCAAATGACTAACTTTTTTTTCATATATCTAATAACTGACTCTTTTTCATATATCAAGTAATTGACTCTTTCTCT